AGAGAGAGAGAGAGAGAGAGAGAGATTACTAACAAAATCACTTAGTACCTTATTTAAACTATTCGGCATAGCTTGATCCTTCATTTAAAGAGTTCAAAGACACTTCATGTTCATGTGCACACATAGAAGAATGTAACAATTGATTGGAACCCATGAATCAATCACAAAGATTAGTTATTTGACAGTTGAATGTGCACTCTGTCATCACTACCCATGACCATAAACACAAGACTGCTACTAAATGTAGAATTGTTTGCGCCAACCATAAGTTGACAATCTGCACATGGAAAACAGTCATTCAAAACTTTATCATGTATAGAATAACTATAAGCTACAGCTTTTAGGTCGTTTAGTTTAACTAGAATACCTTCAACACCTAAATCTTCAATCATGAAACAAGAACGAGGCCTATGAAATGGATTAGGCATAGACACCTCATTCAACTGTCAAAATAACAAGTTAGTATGTGTAGAACAACATAATTCGATAGATAACGTATTTGAATTTTTAAACCATTATTTCCCATTTTTCTTATTACATTGGATGAACTGGCAAGGGCAAAGCCAAGTAATATCGCTGCAACAGTACCAACTTCTGAAAGTGCAAGTAAATCAGACTGCAGAAGTAAAAAGAAATATTTAGCATCGTCAAACTCAAACAAAAAGAAAAGCAAGAGTTTTTTGCAATGCCATAATGGTATACTATAAGTAACATGATTGCCTTACATCAGTAACATGGATGCACCACAGGAATATTTCAAACTACATAAACCTTAAACTTCTAAGAGCCACATCTTTGTAAATTGATGAACTTTTATGAGATGAATACAAAGGTAACCACTAAGAGTTATAGCTGGAAAAAGTCTATATGAGTTTTGAAGTCACAATTATGAGTTCTACAAGACTAACGGTTAAAAGCACACTGTTTCATGGAAATATTTCTCTCATATTTGGATCTGTGCATAGCCACTCAATAGTAAGGGGGCTTACTTAATAGCATGGAAGGAAAATAACAAATTTCATCCCCTAAAGATTTTTGCTAAAAAAGTTAGGGATCAAACCCAGATGCTAAGATTAATTCCTCGGCTTCACAAGCTTCTGCATTTACAATGTTGTAATACCAACACAATTTCTCTTGTCATCAAGATTGCAATCCATGGTTTCTTACTTTTTAATTTAAAAATTGACAAATTATATATAAATTTAAACATAAGATATCATCAAAATGAGGTTCTTACAAAAAAAATTCTTCTTTCAGTTGAATTTTGTGGCTTGAATATTTTGTTTCAATCTAAATGAATTTGCAACTTAATCTTGAATATGGTCAATTTGTAATAAATTCTACTGCAAGTGAAACCTGATTCAGTCATGAAAGAATTAAGCAATAGCTTACGTTTCTCTACCAGGAAATATCAAGTTCAAAAGGGCAACTTATAATTGTAAGATATGAAAAAAACTGAAAGATGTGTTTATTGCATCAACCTAAGATATATGAGTCATGTATGTCTAATTATTCAAGCTCTAATGTCTAAATAAACATAAATGCTTGTGAAAGGAAATTCAAATAATTGAAAATCTAAAAAGATTCAGCACTCACTTTTGATGAGAAAAAAAGTAAATTAAATATTATATGATGATCCAAGGCTACACTGAAATTTGCCAATGTGAATAGGTATCGTATTTATTGAAGATTTCAAGAGTTTGTCCTCATGACTAAAGCAACAAATGTCAATTAGAACTAATTGACAACTTTCCTTTTATGATTAATGCAATAACGTTTTAAAGTAAATTAGTAACATACTAGATATAGATATAATTTTGAATAAAAGGTAAAACTGGAATTTTGCAATATATGTAAGGAAAATATTGTTGAAAATTACTTTTTGCATTTTCCCACTTTTAGGAATTTTTAAAGTAGTTGTAGGTGATGTTAGAACTTATATACTATTAGAAGTTAATTATTAGTTAGTTAGCTGCCAACTGTATGTTAGTTGTTAGTTCATTTTACCAGCTGTATTTTCTTTACATTTTGGCTCTATTTTGGCACCTATTTATATCCTGTAAAGTCATGACATTTGCATGAAATAAGATTCCAGAATTTTCCTCATACTCTAATATGGTATCAGAGCAAACTCTCCCTGTGCTCACCCTTCGCTCATCCCCTTCCTGTTCATGATTTCTCTTTGCAATGGAGCCAACACAATCTGATTACACATCTGAATCACATTCATCCACGAGCAAATCAGCCATTGATGAATCGTCAAGTCCGTATTTCCTGCATCATTTAGACAGTCCAAGTTTGTTACTGGTTTCTCAGCCACTTACAGGAGATAACTATGCCTCCTGGAGTCGTGCCATGATGATCGCCCTTTTGATAAAGAACAAACTGCCATTCATTGATGGATCAATGAAGAAATCGGAGGATACGAATCCTGACTTGATTAATTCGTGGATTCGAAACAATAACATGGTGATGTTGGGGATCCTCAACTCAATTTCCAAGGACATTTTAGCAAGTGTTATATATGCATCCACTGCTCACGAGATCTGGAATGATCAGCAGAGCAATAGGCCAAGGATCTTCCAATTGAAGAAAGATCTGATGAATTTGACTCAAGATCAAAACAATGTGAGCATTTACTTCACCAAACTGAAGACTATATGGGAAGAGTAGAGCTAGTTTCGACCAAATTGAAGCTGTGGAAAGTGCACATGTGACGGTGTAAAGAAATTGAATGAATACTATCAGATGGAACATATCATGTCCTTCCTTATGGGGCTGAATGACACCTTCTCTCAAGCTTGTGGTCAGATCCTTCTCATGGATCCCATACCACCAATCAATAAGGTATTTGCAACGATTTCACAGGAGGAAAATCAGAAAAGGCTGAATATACTATCCATCGGGAATGATGCATATGGTGCTGTTGCATTTGCCTTAAAATCTGACAATGCGAGAACAGTATCTAATCCTAGAATTGGTGCCTTTGGAAACCTCAAGAAGAAGGAAAGGCCTTATTGCACTCATTGTAAATTCCATGGACATTCGGTGGACAAGTGTTACAAAATTCATGGGTATCCACCAGGATACAAGCCAAGCCCGAAGGACAATTTCTAAGGCTACTCCACCTCCAATCCAGTAAATCAAATTTCACTTAATACTTAGATGAATCAGCATTCTGGTATGGAAAATTTTATGCAAAATCTGAATCTTGAACAATATCAATAGCTAATGAGAGTACTATCCAACCATCTGACTTCAAGCGCCATTGTTACTGCTGCTGATCATGATAAGCACACCACCTCATGGGCTGCCTCAGGTATATGTCATTCTATGTCAATGACTCCCATCTTTACTGATAAAAGTATTTGGATTGTTGATACGGGGGCTACTAAACATGTTTGTTCTATTGCTGATGTGTTTTTGAACTTAAGACCAGTCAATGATGCAAGTATTATCTTACCAAATCACACACGTATATTAGTTAGTCTATGTGGTGATGTCAAGTTGAGCAATACTTTGGTGCCGCGTGATGTCTTATATGTGCCGCAATTCAAATTTAATTTGATATCAGTTAGTGCATTAACTGATGATTCTCAGCTCATTCTGAATTTCTTTCCTGATTGCTTCATTATTCAGGAAGCTTCAACCAAGAAGACGATTGGCAAGGGTGATAACTTTTAGGAGTTATACGTATTTGACACTAGAAACCTTAACTCTTTTATACATGCTTTTGTCAGTAATGTGTCTGCACACATATGGCACAATCGTCCTGGTCACTTGTCTTTCAAAAGATTAGATATCTTGAAAAATCAAGTAGCTTGTGATATGTCAAAATTGAACAAACATCTTCCATGTTATGTGTGTCCCATTGCTAAGCAAAGGAGATTATCCTTTGAATCCAATAACGGACTTTCTAGCAAGCCTTTTGATTTGTTGCATTGTGATATACGGTGATAAGTGTATTTTATACACTTATTCGGTACCTTAAATAGTGATATTTGATGGTTCTTTTGACAAATTATATTCTAAAATTTTGTCTCTTATGTTTAATAGGTGAAATTTTATGAAGGAAAAGGGAATTGAAGGAATGAAGCAATAAAAGGCGAAATGCAGAAGTTTGGGGACCAAGTAGTAACAATTCAATAGTTGATCCGGACCATGAATCGAAGATTGAAGAATTTAGAGATCAAATTTTATATTTTGAAAAGTGAAGGACTTGGATTGAATCAAAGTAGACATGTGTTGTAAGAATAAAAGGACTCAAGGATCAAATTGCATTATATTGAAAGATTGAGGACTTGATGGGTAATATTACATTAAAGGGTTTGAATTTGAGTCAATTATGGTGGCTGTAAAGGGGAATATACATGAATTCACGCTGGGGAGTTTTTTGGAAAAAAAAATTAGAGTCCTTTTGTTAGTCAAATTTGGTAGCTCTAGGTTTTTTTATATATAATATATATATACATCCCAACTAAAAAAAGGACCAGCAGAGGAGAGGAGGACTAGAATTATTTGGGAGCTGAATTATATTCTCTCTCACACAAGTCAGCAGCTTGGGAATTGGGAGATAGATATACGCATAAAACGGCAGCTTTGGGAGTTCTTGGGATTCAAATTGCGACTGCCATAATTTATATACATACATATATTCCACACGGCAGCTTTGGGGAGAGAGGTCGGTGGCTGGAATTACAAAAGAGACAGAGCAGAATTAAAGAATCTGCCGACTGGGACTATGCAAACATAGAAGTCGCTGATTTTGGAGAGACAGAAAGGGAGAAAACACACGGAGCACGACAAAAGACGACATATTCAGTCTTGCAAATTATTTACGTTCCGTCAATTGACCCGGTGATGAATTTCCTAATAAACTTGTGTTTTCCTTCCATTATTATGCATAGCTATATTTGATTTTAGGGCGAACAACGTAACTTGTTTGGAACCCTTTATTTCGTTGAATTAAGATTTTAGTGCTTTTATATTTTATGTGTTGATTTTAATGTTGTTCTTAACACATTTAATTACTTAATCACTAATTAGATGATTTGCAAACAATAATTGCGTAGAGATGCAAATGATTTGTTTAGACCACATGTTAAAATCCGGTAAATCGATATAACGTGTCGAGATACTTATATTGATTGCTGTGGTCGTGTGTGAATTCTTAAAACCAATGTTTTGTTTAATTAAATTTAATTTGCATAGAGATATGGAATTGAACTAATTAAATAGGCTCAACAAGAACTCGAGAGGGGTAAGTTGAATACAATAGAAGAATTCGACCGAACACTACTTTAGGTTTTATGAATCTTGATTTATGAAGTAAAGGTGACCAATAGGTGAAATTGTTTCGCCCTAACATCCATTTATTGTTTGAATTCTCAATCACTTTTCATTGCATCCAATCGCATTTTTAAGTATTTAGAATAAAAATCACATTTAATCATTGTTTTTGTCTATTTTCGTTAATTAGAAGTTAGGAATAATAAATTGAATACTAAAATATAGTCCTTGTGGGAACGATAATTCAGACTCAAAATGTCCACTTTACTACTTGTTACGATCCGTTCACTTATGGGATAAAATCGACAACAATGGGGACCATACCATATTCAATCACACTCGGGACATAAATATTTTTTAACTCTAGTTGATGATTGTTCAAGATTTACTTGGATATATTCACTACACCAGAAATTTGATGCTAAGAATACTGTACATCGATTCTTTAACGTGGTCACCACTCAATTTAATGCCAAAATAAAAGGCTTCAGATCAGATAATGCACATGAGTTGTCCTTTACTGAGTTTTTTTGCTGAAAAAGGGGTCTTACATCAATTTAGTTGTGTGGAGAGACCACAGCAAAACTCGGTTGTAGAACGAAAGCATCAACATTTGCTAAATGTGGCTCGTTCTCTATTTTTCCAATCCAGAATTCCTATATCCTTTTGGTCTGAATGTGTCTTGACAGTGGCATATCTCATCAATAGAACTCCAGCCCCCATCTTACAGTATAAAACACCGTATGAGGTTTTATATGGCAGTCCAGCTACTTATTCTCATATTCGAGTATTTGGCTGTCTAAGTTTTGCATCCACATTAGCTGCTCACAGAGATAAATTCCAACCTCGAGCCAGGCTGTGTGTATTCATAGGCTATCCAGCTGGTGTTAAGGGATATAAACTTCTTGATGTAGTATCAAAACAAATCTTCATCTCAAGAGATGTAGTTTTTCATGAAGAAATCTTTCCTTTCCATACTGATACAGAGGCTAATCGAATGCTTGATCCATTCCCTGATCTAGTCCTACCTTCACCTACAATATCTTCCCCAGTTGAGAACATCAATCCCCAGCCACATAATATTCTCAATGATGCTAATAAACATACCGCTCTTGATCCTTCTGAAGCATTCCCCGAGTCCCCTTTGCCTACCCTCTCACCAACTACAACCACATGTCATGATCTTAGGAAATCCACAAGAATGTCCAGACCTCCCAAATATCTTTTTGACTACCATTGCAATTTGATGTCACATTCTACTCAGTCTACTCATCTCCCACCACTTCACATTGGCCATTTCCTTTCATATAATCGTTAGTCTGAACCTCACAAAAATCTGATCCTTAATATCTATCACATCTTACCTTGAACCTCAATATTTTCATCAGGCTGTCAAGTTTCCCCATTGGCGTGATGCCATGAAGCTCGAATTGGAGGCCTTAGAAACCAATCATATCTGGTCTCTTGTACCCCTACCACTTGGGAAACACACTGTTGGATACCGGTGGATTTATAAGAACAAATTTAAATCACATGGTTCCCTTGAAAGACAGAAGGCCCACCTCGTTGCTAAAGGCTATACACAACAAGAAGGGCTGGATTACTTTGACACATTTTCACCAGTGTCCAAGAGTGTTATTGTCAAAGTTATCCTGGCTCTTGCAGCTCAATATAGATGGCACTTGTCTCAGCTAGACATCAATAATGCCTTCTTGAATGGTGATTTGTTTGAGGAAGTGTACATGGACCTTCCCTTGGGTTATGATCTCCTCAGGCCATACAATCAGGGGGAGAAATTGGTTTGTAAGCTTCACAAGTCCTTGTATGGACTTAAACAAGCCTCTCGACAGTGGAACTCTAAATTCATTCATGTCCTTATAAGACATGGTTTTCATAAGTCTAAAGCTGATTATTCTCTCTTTACTAGTGGGTCAGGAGACAATTTTGTGGCACTCCTTGTATATGTGGATGACATTGTGTTAACAGGGCCTAACTTGCGAGTTCTTGAGTCAGTCAAGGCCTTCTTACAATCCCAGTTCAAGCTTAAAGATTTGGGATGTCTGAAATATTTCCTGGGTTTTGAGATTGCGCATTCCTCTTCAGGGATTGCCATTTCTCAGAGGCAATATACCTTGCAATTGCTTGAAGACACATGATACTTAGACTGCAAACCAGCAAGCTGTCCCATGGACACAAAGGCAAGCCTCAACATCCATGACGATGATCTCCTTCCAGATGCTTCTCATTATAGAAGACTAATTGGTAAGCTTATTTACCTGACCCTATCCAGGCCTGATATTGCATTTACAATCCATAAATTGAGTCAATTTATGTCCAAACCACGGCTGCCACATCTCAAAGCCATCTACCATCTCCTGCGGTAC